ACCTGGCCAAGGGCCGAAAACGTGGCCGTAATATTATTGGCCACCGGGCCACAGTGGATGTCCCAGGTCAGCGAGGGGGCAATATAACTATGTGTGCTGCCATTTCTGAGAATGGTGTGGCCACTCACATCCCCAGTCTTGGCCCATACAACACACACAAGCTCCTCATCTTCTTGGATCGCCTATATACCAATTTTATCCCTGAAAATGAGAGAGGTCTCATAGGGCCTCACCTACCCATTTATGTAATTGTGTGGGACAATGTCAATTTCCACCATAGGGGCTGGTTTGCAACGCATCCCATGATGGTCATGGGGTTCCTACCACTTTACTCTTCTTTCCTCAATCCGACAGAGGAGTTTTTCTCTGCTTGGAGGTGGAGAGTGTATGAGCATCATGCTCAGGATCAGCCGTCCCTGCTCCATGCTATGGCCACAGCGTGTGACGACATTACAGGAGATCAATGCAGGGGATGGTTGCGGCATGCACGCCGTTTTTTTTCCTCGTTGCATCGCAAGAGAAAGTATCCGCTGTGATGTGGACGAGAATCTGTGGCCAGACGGACAACAGCGTGTAAATAATCAGGAGGGTGAAGACAGTGGACAAGAGCAGGAGAATGAGTACAGCGACCACTGAATAAGTCCTTGTTTTTTGATTTTGTGTTCATACAATTTGCTACTGTAATGTACATTTTCTTTTTACATATGTATGAAACTTTCTTTGCCTGTGAATAAAAAATGGTTATAATTTCCTTGGTAGTGAGAGTGCAATCTGTGATGTCAAACCTTGGAGGCTACTCTTTTCTGTTGTATATTGTTGGTCCTCTGCCATAGTGACAAAACATCTAAACATTTTGTATGGCAGTACTCACACAATGCCAAAGGGACGATGCATTTTGGGGGCACTGACTATTCAGATTAGAAAGAAATGTAGTTTTGACACATGAGTGAACTGTTTTAGGAGAGATATGAGCTTTTGCAGGTGGACCATGTTGTTGTGATCAACCATCCAGGTTTATTTTGACAAAAGCACCAAGAATGATGAGAATGTCCGATCTGTGTCGAGAAATGAGCCAAAACTATTGAGAAGGATCTTTGCCATTTTGGAGACACTGACTGTTTAAATGAGAAAGGGATTTAGATTGAAGCCTGAGTGAACAGTTTTGGAAGAGATATGAGCTTTTGCAGGTGAGCTATAGTGTTGTGCTAAACTGTAAGAGTGTTTTGCCAAATGATCTTAGAGTTTTGAGAATGTAATTTCTGTTTCAAGAAATGAGCCAAACCAATGGAGAAAAACTGTAATAGTGCTTGTAGTTTTGCATTTGTATGCTTATGTGCTTTTCAAACATGGGTTTGAACCATGTCTCGTAGTTTTCAGAATGATCTTGAAATAAGTGGAAAAGTAGAGAATGGCAGCAAATATTCCTACAATTGACCTTTGGACTAAACCAAGTTAGGCATGCTGAGGCCTACTAAGAGCATGACAATCTGCCTGCTTTGAGCTGATTGTTTTCTTACCTGGAGGGTAGATGTAGGAGCAGTTATGACAAACAATTATAATTTTTACTGGATGACCTTACCCGATGTTAACATGTTCTCATCTCTTCCACAAAATCCTGAATAAAATAGCAGAGAACTGTAATTACAAATTTCTACAACAGAAGTATTATGTAGACTCAAGTAAAAATCCAAGTGGCTTGTGCGACATATAATAAATCTGTTTTGTTTTTTTTCATATGCCGTGCGCAGTGATTACAGTCAGCCAAGTAACAATACCGATAGGCAAAGTAAAGGCTAATTACTGGTTGTGAAATGAAGGTGAAGTAGTGCTTGATAAGATCTGCAACAAAAAAGTACCACAGCCATTTTATAAACCCAAATATCTCAAAATTTTTAACTCCAGCGTTCTTAATCCATTTTGGTAATTATACCAATCCCAACCTTCTATACCGGAGTTTCAATAAATAATAAAGCAATAATGCAGCCACTTACATACTTCCAAGCTCATAAGCTATTTAAAGGAACCACCAGCACGTTCTGTGTAGATTAAAGCTGCATTATTTATGAATCTGAAGCAAGTCACATATGAGGCGGTCATTTGAGCACCTACTGGTGAAATTGCTGCTTTTCAAGCTTTTTAACTTCCTAAAATTTTCCAATGAAATGGTAATAAGCGATGGATATTATATTGCCTATAAATACACATACAGTACTGTGCAAACGTTTTAGGCAGGTGAGAAAAATGCTGTAAACAAAGAATGCTTTCAAAAATGGAAGTGTTAATCACTTATTTTCATCAATCAACAAAATGCAGTGAATGAACAAAAGCAAAGTCTTAATCAAATCAATATTTGGTGTGTCCACCCTTTGCCTTCAAAACAGCATCAGTTCTTAGGTACACTTGCACACAGTTTTTGAAGGAACTCCACTGGTAGATTGTTTCAAACAAGAACCAATCACAGATCTTCTGTGGATGTAGGCTTCCTCACATCCTTCTGTCTCTTCATGTAATCCCGGACAGACACGATGATGTTGAGATCAGGGCTCACTTCCAGTACTTCTTGTTCTTCTTTACGCTAAAGATAGTTGTTAATGACATTGGCTGTATGTTTGGGGTCATTGTCCTGCTGCAGAATACATCTAGGGCCAATAAACAATCATTTATATTTCTGAAAGCATTCTTTGTTTACAGCATTTTTTCACACCTGCCTAAAATGTATATGAATATGTAGAATATGCATGCAGGGAGAAGATTTTTGGTACTGGATGTTTTTGGCCAGTCAAATTAGAGCAAACTTTGGTTACAGGGTTAATTTAGCTATAAAGTCAAAAGATATGCCCATTTTATAACATAGTGAATATTGGTTTATTTGAAACAGGACCAATAAACTGACCAGCCTAAAATGTCTGATAAAAACATCTTAATTCAAATGTATTGATATATTCAAGTGCAAGAAAATATATATGCTGCTTAGTGCATTATTGTACATACAATGTGTACATCCTTCTACTATGGAACGCCAGGACTGCCATAATGAATTAATTAAATACACCATTAAATAATTAAGAATTCGCTGAAGAGGAAGGAACACAGTAACTGATTCATCATAGCATTTCCCCAATTTACCAAAAAGATCAGGATAGAAAGAAGAGAGCAGACATAAAATTCAAACTTAGGTTTCCAGGCATTTCATTATTGTGCATGAAGGCAGGCAGATGTGGATGCTGTTAACATTTACAGAGTCCGTCTCAACATAACTAATCAGTGTGTAATTGGGGGAATCCACGCGGAAAAGCAGCAGATCACTGACATCAGAAGACTAATTAAATGGTAAATCTTACAAAGGTCAACAGTGTGTTGGCTAAGGATGAAGAGAGTAGCCACCATATGGCTAAAGATGCCCTCAAGAAGTGTGTCTTCACTGCTCTTTTAATCTTTTGAGCTAATTGTGCCCCCCCTGCACCCCCAGTCTTCTCGTGATTGTGGCCAGTGCTCAGGCAGACAAAATGTGGTCAAACTCTAATCTACTTAACTGCTTGGCACTTTGTTTTTCCAATTATGGTTAGGCCTTGTTATTGTAGTGCTGAAACCCGCTGACATCAGCATTTATTTGGCTTTCTAAGCAAATTTTCTACTCAGAGTTTAACAGACGTGAAACAGTTTTTACAGCGTAAAATAAACAGATACAACCAACAATTTATGAAAGAATCATTTATCCAATGAATACACAGAAACAGTGTGAGGATACTGATCCGATCACTTTTGCTGAGCGTTGTAATGAGTTATTATTTAGCTATTCAGCCCACAACAGTTCACTCTCACTGCTCTCACAGTGTAAGTTTTACTAAAGAATCTCATTAAATTTACTGCTAACCAAGAAAGTGTCAGACTGGCTAATCAACACAGTGGAGCACCTGAAAGAGTACTTGAATGATTGTGAAGATTGGACTTGTATTCATGTTCAGACTTTGAGCAGAGAACACTATAGAAGAACAGCCCATTTTATACTTACCTTTCATTTAGGGAGATGTAAATGAATTGTAAGGTTGCAAATTTTGTAAGGTGCACTGTAAAATCTAATTAGTTCCCAGAACTCCAAAAAATTGAGGAAACTCGTTGCCTCAAAAAAATTGAGTAAAGCTTAGCTAAAAATGACTAAATTAGGACAACTTATTTATTTTGAGTACACTGTACAAGCTCATTTGTTCCCAGAACTCGAGAAAATTGGATCAAGTTTACTTAAGATGACCAAGTTAGGGCAACTTACTCATTTTGAGTACACTGTACAGCCTTGTTAGTTCCCAGAACTCAAAAAAAATTAAGGAAACTCGTTGCCTCAAAAAAACTAAGTAAAGCTTACTTAAGATGAATGTTAGGACAACTTATACATTGCAAGTCTGCAGTATTAAGAATAACTTGATATTTCTGACTGTACAATACTAATTGTTTACTTACTGACAAACATTTCAAGTTCAACTAAATGAAAAAACAATTTGTGGTAACCTGAATATGATTAAAAATAATTAACAACACTTTTTGTAATGATGTTAAAATCAGCCCAACTTTTATTTTCAAACACAACAAAGTATAACAGCCAACATACTGGACACTGTTCTGCTGAACAACAAACAATTAATATTGCCATCACTGTTATAATGTTATAATCTTAAGTCTCAGATGTAATTATTCTGAATAATAAGTTTAGGTCTACCACAAGTTTGTTTTGTACTTACTTATATAATCAAAATAAAATATCTATTGTTCTGTCACAAGTGCAATCTCTGATTTAAACAACACATTTGTTTTTCATTCCAACACAGGAGCTGGAATGTTGTAATGTTTTAAGGATGGCTTGTTTCCAGTCCAGGCATTACTGCCTGAATGACTATCATGGATCGAGGTGATCCAAATGTAGGTGCAGAAGAAAGTCTTTAACTTCCCTTAAATACAGTGGCAGTGGATGTGGGTTGGAGATGCAATGAGCTTGAACCGGCAGGCGACCATCTTCACTGACCACACCATCTGTGACCGAGGACTCATCTCTCCTGGTGTCCTGCAAGCAAACAATCATATTTTTTGGAACATGAACTTAATTGCTTTCTTAAAACATTTTTTTCTGCATTTGGTATAGAACAGACTCCAATTTAGACAATCTCAAGCTTCCTCCCAATCAAAGAGGTAACAATGTCCCAATTGTCAGTCTGGATAGCCGTGACCACCACCCAACATACAATAATGTCATGAAAGCATCATTTTAAAAAGGGCTATGCAAACATGGCCAATAACTTTCATTCTAATGATGTGCAAAATGATTTGGGCACAAAACAAATTTTGTTGTTAGAAAACTTGCAGACTTCACTATATACAGTGTAGACCCTCTAAACTAAGTTTGGGGGATGTGATCTTTCAAGAAATGCAGACTGTTGTTGTTTGTTTACTTACACAGCATGTCTTGTAGAATTAACTGGAGTCACCAGCAACAGCATAGTGCAGTCATATCTCAAGTCTAATAACAGAAGACAGGAAAAGATCAGTAAAGAAACAACTTCCTCAAACCAAAGCACAAAAAAAAAACCAATAAGTAAAACAGGCTGATCTAAAGTATGATGAAAGTTCAGCCTGATTAATATAAATGTCACTGACAGTTGCTAATATATTGGAAAACCAAAATACTTACCACTGAGTTGATGTCTTTCTGTCCAACAACAGGAGTGCTGGTCCCGAGCCTCAAAGACAGTAAGAAGCAAGCAGAGGGAGAAAAAAAACAGAACATTTTTCAGAAACTGATTTGATCCTTAATGGCTGTGCAATCATTGTTACATAGAGTTTGCTTATGTTGTTAAATAAAGGCTAGATTTGACATTAATAGATGTCACAGATGTTCAAAAGCTGCCACAAAGCATGAAAAAAATGGACGTCTCTGAAAACTTCGGCGCATTTTTGCAAATATGTGATGTCTTGATAACTCGAGAAGATATTTGAACTTTACACAGCTACATTCGAGCCTGAAAATATCTTAAAAGTTTATTTTGTGACCCAGAAAAAGTAATACGTTTTTTAGCCACGCTCCTCCGCCATTGCCACGCTTACAAGTATGCACAGGCTCCGACAAATGTGATCCTCCTTTTCCCCAGACTACCCTTTCTGGGTCACAATATAACCTTTTAAGATATTTTTAGCCGAGAATGTAGCTGTGTAATGCTCAAATATCTACTTAATTTATCAAAATATCACATATTTGCAAAAGTACTTCCACGTTTTCGGAGAGCTCTGTTATCCACCAGCGCGATAGCTGACCGGGAGGTCAAGGCTTGATAACAGTCTGCGAGCACAACTAACTCCTGGCTTATTGTTTTCAAACCCCCTGCGGTCTTTTGCTACTCAGGTTAAACATGATATATATAATTAGTTAGTTAGTTAGTTAGTTAGGGCTATGGATTGAAAATACCCCCCACACCCCACCCCTAAAGGCTGCACCTCCCGAAGAATTTTGTCTGGGCTCTTAACTCACTTTTTTATTTCAAACAATCAACAGAAAATTTCACCGACATAGTTTTATGTAAGGTTTTTAAGGCTGTGGTGTTAATTTTTAAGTAACATGAGCCCAGCGGCAGCAGCAACGCTAGGCTAACACTAACTAGCTAGCAAGATTGTAAACCTGGTGCTAAACTAAGAGAAGCCACAAAATCAGTTTGAATAAGAGTAAACATTTACTCACCAAGTCAGTGTATCAGGTAAAGATCCACAGCAATGACAATAATCTCTTGAGCTGACGCTTTTCCAGGTTTGCTCTAGTGATGTGCGATACCACTGATTTCCTTTCCGATCCGATACCAAGTACTATTCAGGGTGGTATCGATGATACTGATCCGACACCGATACTTTGTACAAAAACTTATTTTATTTATTGTATCTCAAATTATAGTGTCATAATGATTACAGAACATCAGATTATTTGTTCTTATCACTTAATAATGCAGAGTTCATCATAGGGCTGGGCGATATGACCCAAAATTCATATCTCGATATTTTTTACCTGGACGGCGATATAAGATATATATCTCGATATTTTTTTTAAAAGCCATAAAGTAAGAACAAAAAGAGAGTTCTTAGTCAAAGCTGTGTCCCAGATGTCACACAGGCACTTTTATTAACATAGAGCATAGATGTACATAAGATTTACTCAAAAATAAATTATGAGCATTTATTAAATAATAATGCTCCATAAATAAAAGAAAACAATGTTGTTTTTGTGCATAACAAAAAGCTCACAATTGTGCAGTCAAAATGTAAACTAAAAGACGCTGAGCATAGTAACAAAGACAGATTTCACAGGTGCTCTGTTCCCAACTTCTACTGTGTGACTGACAGCCTGGAGTTTGAAATCCTCTTGTAACCACGTCTCTTAACAGGTGCCATTTATAGTCCTTATACACAGTAGGGTAATATTACGTTGAAGCACAGTACGTATCACTCCGCAAAGGCTCCTCGGTAGCCGTAATGCTCTGACAATCCATCAAGCGGTGCAGCACCATAGCTTACCAAAGTTGTACTAAAACATTTTTGACTTTTGATTGCTGAGCGCTGTGTACCACATAAAATCGGTTCGCGGCCATCAAGCACAAACAGAATTCATACATAAGGCGCGCTGTCAACTTTTGAGAAAATGCAAGGATTTTAGGCTGTGCAGCGCCTCTGGGCTGCATGGCGTTAGCGTGGTTAGCTCATTAGCGTGGTTAGCTAGCTAACACGTTGACGGCGTCCAGCCCCACGCACGGCGATGTGCAGTAACTCGTTAACGGAGATTTGCCGTGTCCATCTTGTCGCTTCCTGCAGGTGAAGCGATGGGGGAGGAGGGGCGAGGCCGAGTAACGTTGCGTAAAGACAAAAGTGGACGAAAGAGAGGCAAACTTGCGGCTCCACAAGTATCCGATTGTTCAGTCTGACGTCACTAGCCGTGTCTGGGTCTAAACTCCGCTGCAGGTCCATATATCAAACGATCACTATGGCATTACTGAGAGTTGTCTGTCTAAAGTCTTTCATCTTTAATAAAATGATCAGCGTTCTGCTCTACCAGGTGTAACAATTGAGTTTAACATCCAGGCATCCATGAAAACGGAATTTATGACATTTAACGTAATTAGAAGTTAGCAGGGAGTTAGCTCGCTAGCTTCTATCTAAATACAATATAGCATGTCCTGACTGCGGGGTTTTGGAAACAAATTAAAACGTACAGCTCTGTTATCACTTCCAGCATAAATGAAGACAGAAAACTAAACAGCAGTGACGTTTGTAGGGTTACTGAAGTTGGGCTAGCTGGTATATAATGATGTGCTACGTGACCGCTAGCGACACAGCTATGTTAGCATAATATAAACAAGCTAACTTTTTTTCCACTCGATAAAAGTTAACGTGAGTGTTCTCGGTGGTCAGGAACAAATGTAATCGCATGGCAGGATTTCTCCCAATTTTCCACCCGGACAACAAAATTGAAAAACCATATCGCAGAATTCATAGCGCGGCCCAGCCAATTCCAGTTTCCAACAATGACGGCAGCTACTTAGTTTTAATATTACTCTTATTTGTCTTTCTGGGTCGCAAAAGAACTTTTAACATATTTTCAGGTGAGAATGTAGCTGTGTAAACTTCAAACATCTGAGCCGACCGACACATCGTCTTCAACCCCCCGCGGTCTTTCACTGCTCGCGTTAAACATGATATATAAGTCACTTTGCTAACTTAAAAATGTTATTGTTAGGCTTTTTCAGTGTTTTATTTGTTCTTGAGTAAATTGGTTTGGCTGAGATTAAAGTTATTAGATTAGATTAAATTAAATGTAACTTTATTAATCCCTCGGGAGGGTTCCTCCGGGGTTTTCACACAGCTGAATAAACGTCAAACAGAAAACTAATTAAACAAAGTGTGAGACGGTAGAGAGTTTATGCCAGCGCCCGGTTATATTTTAGATAGCAAGGAGCAGACGGCAGAGTCTCACTCCACCGAGGGAGCTCGTGATGTACTACCCGGCTTTCTTTAGACCGCGGTCGGGCCGGGTCCTCAGGTGGAACCAGCCTCTGAATTTGGACACGGGGGTGTCCAAATTCAGAGGCTGGTTCCAGACCAGCCAATAATAACGGTGACATTTCGCGTATTTTATCCGATAAATAAACACTGTAAAATGTATTTATCCCCCCCCCCCAACAGCCCTTTTGAATGTCTCCCTAATTCTGAGGTCTCAAGGTTGGCAATTATGGCCACAACACCTCACTTTTTTTGCCACATGTAGGATCGATCCGCACATCACTAGTTTGCTCAACATATTCCATAACAAATGCTGGCGCCATGAACATGCGGACTGATCCGAGAGGGAGGAGGACGGTAGTCACGTGGCATTTTCAAAACACATCTTTCATCCTTCCGCCCTGAGAAGCAAAACTTCCAGCTTACTTAGTTTTTCTAAGTTAAGACAACTCAAATAAATTGAGTTTATCAGCATTTTGCATATAAAGTACTGGTAACTTATTTAAATCGAGTTCTAATAACAAATTGATAAAAAATGAGTTCAGCCTATTTCATATTTTGAATTAAACACAATATTACATTTTACAGTGTGCTTTGTGATAACATTTATTTAAAAATTGTTTTCATAGCTTGTTTTTAGTTAAATAAAATATAGCTAATGGTAAGTTTTCAGAAATACAGAGGTCATGTGTAAAATTCTTCAACACACCCCACTGAATGCATATTTATTAATTCTTCTGAAATATGTGTTAACTTGTTTATTGAAAAATTTAAATGCATTGTTAGGTTGTTAAATTTCACAAACTTACAGAAACAAACTCAAGAAAAGGATCCTTAGTGTCATCCATGACCCTGTTTAAGTCCTCAGAAAGCGAATCCATAGATCTCCAGAGTGTTTCTGTGTGTCTATTTTAGCAGTTATTTTCTATTCAGCTCAGTCCCAGTAAGAAGCCTTTTGTCAGAGAGCTCAAAAAACACACCATACGTGATTTTCTCTGTAATAAAAAGCAGACAGTTGGCTATTAGCTAGTTAAGAGTGTGTAATATATTGGAGCTTAAGACACCAGAGCTGAAATGCAAACAAACATTGGACTTAGATTTATCATTCTGCCAAAACAGACCACGAATGAACACTGTGAATTTTGCTGGCATATGCAGGATGCTGTTTTCTAAAGCGATTATGTCAGATGGTGTAAAACAAAATTAATTAAAGCGTTCATACGTCCAATCTAAGAGCAGTCGTTAGCGCAGTTATTCACACACGTTACAAGCGCAGAACAAAAAGCAAACAAACAGTGAATGAGTACAGATGCCACTGCGCAGATGTCAGAGACCCAGCAGCTTGTGTCCCCTCCAGATTTGCATCTTTCACTTGAACCGCTCAACTGTTCAAAGAGACAAATGATGAAAATGAGCGGGGAGGCACGAGGGCATTGAAGCGTCAAGGGATGACGATGATGATGGCACTAACAGATAGAAGTATTGTTTGACACCTGTTCTGAATTTTACATTTGAAACTTTCCAGCAACCTTCCATCTCTTATCTCTAGTTTGATGTAAAAATCATGTTAGCAAAGAATATTTTATAGTTTGCTTTTCTTGGTTTTGAGTCCTTTCGCACCTTAATCATAAAATAATGTAGAAAGCTTTTCTCTTAGCCATAAACTTACTGGTATTTTGGTAAAACAAGAACCCAGTCTTATTTAAATATGACAAGAAAGTTGCTTGTTTCATATTTCCTACCTCAGTTTTGCACGCTTCTCCTCACCTCCTCACCAGATCCAATCTCATACCTGCTCCGGCTAATAAACTGCCGCTTATGTAAATGCCACATGTATGATAATTCTAGCTTCTCAATAATAAATGGGAAAACCTCATGAATGAGCCAAATTAGTGCTGACCATCACATCAGCCCCCCCAAAACTCCATCATTCTCTCTGTGACCTTTCTCTCCTGGCAACCTGAGGAAGTGGATGATCTCCAGTTTGACAAAAAAAGGGGTAGAAATGGGAGTTAATAGGCAGCTCCTCTGCAAACACTGGGAGTCTTTATGAATAGGAGGCAATCACACAGATCAAATATACAGCAAGGGGAAATGGGTCTGGAATTCAGGAGGCAAAAAAAAAAAAGAAAAGAAAAGAAAAGGAGGGGAAATACAAATTGAAGATGCTGGTAAATATAATAATGTGTGCCTCATGTAATTGTCCGTTTAAATGCAGATACTGAAGAGGAGTGTTGACTGATGTAGACAGAGGAGACACAAGGAGGAGTGCCTGGATGGGGACTGGTCTACAGTTACAAGACTTCTAGCACAGAGCTGGAGATTTTGTTGTCATTGCTGATTCTTTTTTGTTTGTTTGCTTGTTTGTTTGTTTGTTTGTTTGTTTGTTTGCAGACTTCATGACGATCCATGTCTGAGCAGCACCATTGTGCTGGCAATGTGACTGATTGATCAGTAGATGAACAGTAAAGATTAAGAGGATGACAAATAAGCATGCTGCTTACACAGCGCTTGGGGCTAATCCTACCCCCTCCACCACCCCCCGGGTTCCCTTTTGAGGACCTGCTGCTGAGGAGAGCCCACAGACAGTGACAGACATCGGAGGGAACACACACCCACACACAACCTGTTCACGTGCAACAAGTGTCAGCTGGAGCTCATGACAGGACCCCAGCTCATCTGAACAACCACAGCAGAGGTTGCAACACACAGCACGGGCTCACCCTGCCATCTGTCCACCGGGGACCACCGGAGGCCCTGCGGCCCTACGTATTTTTATTTGAAGCAACTGAGCAGAAGAGGACCAAAACTTTTTCTTATCTGCCTTCGTCAATCACTAGAGGAGATATTTTGAGAGAAAAATAATGGAGGATCACCTTACAAAGATACCCATGATGCCATCCTCTTCCCCCACAGAGTCATCTGGCAGCGGTGGGACTGATGACAGCAGGGGAGGTAAGAGCTCCACACCAACGACAACAAGTTGCCAATGGAGTCTGAAGAGTGTAACACTGACTTGGCTCGGTAACAGGGAGGAAAAGTTAGCACTTAAACAATATGAAAGTTTGAAACACCTGAAATTCTTTACTCAACATGCATCGGGTTATGAATGAAATCCAACACAAAAACATTAAAAACTCTCATAAAAACACATAATTATGAGCAAGCAATGCTTTTTTAAAATTATAGTTAAGGATTTTATTCAATTTTTGTGAGTGTTTAGACAGACTGTCCTGCTACCAGCAGACAGAGCTGACTGTACAGATGGCAGGCACATGTATGAAACAATACCAGCCCTAATGAGTGGCAATAACCGACCTACTCTGTGACTGTTTTTGACTCACAGCCAAGAGTCCTGCACCGGGCAAAGCTCTGAGCCCAGCTCTGGTCTGCAAAGTGTGTGGAGACACCAGCAGCGGGAAACACTACGGCATCTACGCCTGCAACGGCTGCAGCGGCTTCTTCAAGCGCAGTGTGAGGAGGAGACTCATTTACAGGCAAGAGGAAACTCAGCTGTAGACAGTTATTCCAGCTTCATCGTGTGACGTTTCCTCATCTATTTAAAATAGTCAATATTCAAGGTGAAAGGAATATAAACTCTGGTTTTAGCCTCTACAAACCCCATATTTTGCCAACTATTATTGTAAATTAAAGTGTTTCCTATTACTGTATAAGTAAATGCCTTTCAGATTTAAAAAAAATTGTAGCAGCACAAGTCAGTGTGAATGAAAAAAAATGCACTTTTTGCACTCAAATATAATAATAATAATAATAATAATAATAATAATAATAATATTGACAGAAAGTAACTAAGAGAAGTAAAAGTAAGTAAAACACAAATAGCTTTAATAAATATATATTAAAATCCCCTTTAATTCCATCTGTGATTAAAAGTAGAACCCAAAACTTTTCTTTTCACTTTTGATATTTTTCTTTTGATAAATGGCAGGTTAAAATTAAGGACTTAGCCACACTGGTTTACTCAGAATTCGGACATTTTCCATATACATTCTAATAGCTGATCTTTAGTAATTAATATGTTCTTACTGCTTTCAATATTCTGTAAGCCAAAAGAAAATAAGTGAATGTTATTTTGTCATTTTAAGTCGACTCTCCCTTTAAAATGCGTGACTGTTGGTTAACAGGTGCCAGGCCGGTACAGGCATGTGTCCAGTGGACAAGGCTCATCGTAACCAGTGCCAGGCATGTCGGCTGAAAAAGTGCCTGCAGGCGGGCATGAATAAGGACGGTGAGTCGTTTTAGCATTCATGAGCTTCATTAAACTGATTGGTGTCTAGTGGAACTCAAACATGAACCTGTGAGCGGTTAAAATCATTCCTGTATTATCACCTTAGATAACAGGTTGTGCCTTTCTGTCTCCCCCCTGCAGCGGTTCAGAACGAGCGGCAGCCCCGCAGCACAGCTCAGGTCCGCCTGGACTCCATCGATGTGGACCCGGAGAAGGAGCACCTGGCCACCACACGGGAACCCACCTCCTCTTCTTCCTCCTCCTCTTCCTCATCTTCTTCATCATCCTCCAATGGGTCTGTCATCACGTGGCCCCACATCACCTCCTCCATGTCCATCACTTCCTCTGTTGCAACCCAGCGCTGCATCAGTCCCCAGAACAACCACCGCTTTATGGCAAGCCTCATGACAGCTGAGACCTGTGCCAAGTTGGAGCCTGAGGATGGTGAGCAACAGTTGTCAAATGAAAGGTTTTTGCTGTAAATTTAAGGTGAAGCTTTCTCCTTCACATTAGGACTTGCAGGGGAAATGATGGTTAGAAAACACATATTCTTGGGTAAAACGCAAATGAGTGGGGTTCAGTACAAAAAGCAGAGCATAAGAGGGTGTTATCAGGTGGGCAGTGAAGAAGGTGGGGTTGATTTCAAATCTGTCATGGTTACATCTCCACTTACCGGAGCATGATGAGATCACCATGATGATCAATCCCATTCTAGAGTGATCAAAAATCTTTACTAGCTAACCAAATTTGCAACTCTGCTTAAATATTCTTCTAATTCAATTTAATATTTTAAAGTTACTATTTAGCAAACATCAGGTGAGTAGTAGCATGTACAAAATGCTAACATGTGAAACTATGATGACATGTTCTTTAGTCTTAGAGAGACTTTTTTTTGTCCATATGGGCATCTGCTGACTTTCAGCTGGAGCTCAAATTTTATGACTTTATTACATAGTAATAAAGTCTAATCTAACCTGAACTGAAGCACATCACAACTACCTGAAGTTTAGTTTCATCTGTCTATGCAACAAGTTGGTTTTGTTTCCTCTGCACTCTTGATTCTGAGCTCATCTTTTCTGTTTCAGTTGATGAAAACATAGATGTGACCAGCAATGAACCAGAGCAGGCGTCTTCAGAGTACCACATGGCTTTGTACCCGTCTGGTTCTGAAAATGTATACGAGACCTCAGCAAGGCTTCTCTTCATGTCCGTGAAATGGGCCAAGAACCTGCCCGTTTTCTCCAACCTGCCCTTCAGAGACCAGGTAAGCTGAAAGTGAGGGTTTTTTTTGTTTGTTTGTTTTTTAAGATAGTCTCTATAAACTTTTTCACTTTGCTTTGGAACTATTTTTAATAGGTTAAAATTGACCTCTATTCTTGTTAGAAAAAAAAGTATAATGATAAAAGACAAATTAAAGTTACAGATATAAAAAATATAAAATGCAGATGTCTCTTTTATATCTAAAAATATATTGAATCATGATTTATCTTTATATGCGACAATGACAGAAAAAGACAGAAATTCTTATTTTTATCTGTAAATTCCAAATACCGATGTCATTATGTGCTTACAGGATTACATATGTTGATGTAACTTCATGTTCATGACATTCATGACATGGCCACAATGACCACAAAGCACATTCAGCATTATGAAATGACAATATGACAGTTAATAGTACCACAAATACTGTCTGACTATAAATAAGTAAGTGAACACTGAATTAGTGGTCCCATTCCTGTTTGACAACATTACAATGTGATTGGCTCTGCAATAAAAGGGAATGTCAGGAATGAGCATCTATAGTTTTTCTTTGTGATTTCTTTGGGTCGAAGGTGAAGCTGAGTACAGGGGTGCATATTCAGTTTCTGGTTTTTCTTCTTCACCAGGTCATCCTGTTGGAGGAAGCATGGAGTGAACTCTTCCTCCTCTGCGCCATCCAGTGGTCTTTGCCACTAGACAGCTGCCCACTGCTGTCTTTGCCAGACCTCTGCCCTGGCATGCAGGGAAAAACCAGCTACACTAGCCTGGACCTGCGCCTCCTACAGGAGGTCTTCAGCCGCTTCAAGGCCCTCGCTGTTGATCCTACCGAGTTCGCCTGCCTGAAGGCCATTGTGCTCTTCAAGCCAGGTGAGGAACAAAACACTATTCAGTTGATTGTCTACAATCTGGCAGATTACCTTTAACATGATCACAGTACGTAGCTATGTCCACTGTCATTGTTTTCAAGAGATAAGCACCACGCAGAGGCTAAAATTTCCCTCAGTGTGTTTTATTTAATTAAGATCACTATATTACCATACATGTCATTTAGTAATCATATCATCACTTTATAATTATGATGCCCATCAGTATGGTACATCAAAATTATAGAGTCTTTTTTTTTTTATTACATGGAATGTTATACAATTTTTGTCAGGAACAGTTTTCCCTAGAAAGCAAAGATTCCATAAAGTATTTCTTCTGCTTCACAGAGACTCGAGGTTTGAAAGATCCAGAACAAGTGGAGAACCTGCAGGATCAGTCGCAAGTCATGCTGGGACAACACATACGGTCACACTACCCTAGCCAACCAGCCAGGTAACAACCTACCTGATAAAGGTCACCAATTCAATGGAACAAAATGACAAAACACAAAACAAAACTCCAGTGTGTTTATAACAAAACACAGAATTTTTGTTCTTTATTATGTTTAAAAGTTGATTTCTGGATTTGAAAGTAACCTTCATTCCTTCATTCTGTTTCATGACAAGCATCCTTAATTTGAGGTTTTATATAAAAAACTGATTTCCCTATGTAACTGATTCTACAATGTGAAAGGCTTTTGCTTTAAATTATTTGACATGGCCTTAATTTTATTATGATCTTTGTGTTTAGGTTCGGAAAGCTGCTTCTTCTCCTTCCCTCTCTGCGCTTTGTGAATTCTGAGCGGATAGAGCTGCTGTTCTTCCACAGAACCATTGGAAACACTCCCATGGAGAAATTGCTGTGTGACATGTTCAAAAACTAAAAGAATCACAGAGAAACCCATGCAGTCATCAGTAATGTCCTGTTTTGGATGGGATGATGACTGACAGATATTTGTTTTGTATATATACAAGAGATTCTGCATGCTGTTGTTTGTTGTCTTCTTTTGTCACCTCCACATCAGTTAATTTGACAAAGAAGAAAATGCAGTTCAGTTTTTGTCATAATGCGTTTTCTTTGTATTATATCAAGAGTCTCTGATTTGAAGTTATGGTCATACTAGTTTTGTTGTTGTTGTTTGTTTCAATAAAAATACTTTGTTTGGTAATAGTGTAATTTGTTTGGTAACGTGTGTGTGGCCCTGCTGATGTTAATGTGACTGTTGTATTTATGTTGTTACGCCTTGAAAAAGTAAAAACAAAGAAGAAAAAATCTAAAATATACCTGTTGCTTTAATTCTATGGAGCAGGAATGTTTTCAGTATACTTGCTATGTTACTAAGAGCTTGCACCGAACCCATGAAACAGTGCCCTCTTCTGTCTGGTTAATACACAGATTCTTCAACACACTCTCACACACAATAAATATAATAAAAAAGATGACTAAGATGTAAGTTGAGCCCCTTTAATCTGTACCTCCTATTTAAATTAGAATTATGAAAATTAAGCAAAGTGTGAGTAAGACTAATGCTTATACTGGCGTATCAGCATTACTGCTTTCCACAGACGTGGAGAGTGACATTTCACTTTATGTCTTTGTGTTAAGCATTAACTGTATCAATTTTCTTATTGCTTCTCTTAAATACAGCTGTGGAGTCATTTGAAAACATTGTCATTCAGCCTTAAGTGAAACTTCATTATTTTGGCGTGTTGGAATGACAGCATCATGTATGTGGCACCTTTCCACCCACTTTCTCAGTGACAACCAACGAAAAAACCAAAACCAAAAAACATTGGTGAGACATCTTTAACACTGCTGGTAGAAGCAAAAAACCTTTTTACTTTTTCACTTTTTTTTACTCCAGATGAACCATTTTCACTCAATTTTTAGTGTGAATGTTGCAGAACACACACTGACAGTTTGGACTGACAGATTTCGGTCAGTCCAAACTGTCTGTAAATACGGGACAGAAATGCTTCTGAATTCTTTTGCAGCTTTTTGACAGGTATATATTGCTGTGTTACTGACAAGATTAGGAGCCAATGTGCAGGAATCAGAATCGCCACTGAGCTCAAGATACAGCTTTTTGTGCTGGACTCACAAGGATCAAAAATAGAAAAGAACTTAACTAGGGAGAGACTAGGAATTTGCTAACTAGGAAACTACAGGAGACACTTGGAACATGAGGACACTCAGCAAGCGGGAATGAGGGACAACACAACAAAGGGCAAAGGGACACCGAGACAATAGCTGTGTCTCACTTCAGGGGCTGCAGTCTTCGGAGGACCCGGCCTTCGCGGTCTACATGTGCCAGATCCTCCGAAGACCGAGAAGGCCGGAAGCGAGGCTGTGAAGTGGGATGGTCTAGCCTTCAGATTTGCCTCGCCAGCTGTCTCGGTGGAGTTTAATAAAATGAGCCGTCTGCTCCTTGCTATCTAAAATATAACAGGACATTGGAGTAAATTCGCTACCATCTCACACTGTTTAATCAGTTTTCTGTTTAATCAGTTTTCTGTTTGATGTTTATTCAGCTGTATGAAAACTATAACTTTAATCTCAGCCAAACCGATTTACTCAGGAACAAATAGAACACTGAAAAAAGCCAAACAATAACATTTTTAAGTTATCTAAGTGACACGTTTAACCTGAGTAGTGAAAGACCGCGCAGGGTCTGAAAACGATGTGCCGGGAGTCCGGTGTTCTCACCTTGGCCACCCGGTCAGCTATCGAGCTGGTGAGTAACAGACGTGTTACAAATATGTGATGTCTTGATAAATCGAGCAAAAATTTGCAGTTTACACACCTACATTCTTGCTTGAAAACATGTTAAAAGTTTATTTTGTGACCCAGAAAGAGTAATATTTCAAACTCGTTAGCCGCACTTCTTCGCCATTGCCGCATTTGAAAAGTATTTTTATATTATTATGGAAATTTTAGGAATAATAATTTAATTAATAAAGTAATAAGAGTAATTTTACAACTAAGTAGCTGCCACCATTGTTGGAAACTGGAATTGGCTGGGCCGTGCTTTGAATTCTGGGATAGGTTGGGCCAGGAAGGATACACCCAACCTATCCTTGAAATCCGGGAAATTGAAGGACGCATTTGTCGGCTGGAGCAGCCTTCGAATTACGTTGCGTCGCTATGACGTAATCGGCCTTCAAATGCGGCCTCTGAAGGATGGACTGAGATACAGCTGGTATACAGTCAATAAAGGAAGAGGAAACAAAAGCAGTTAAACTGAAAACAATGCACACAGGATAAGAGGACCTTCAAAATAACACAGGAACCTGACACTTAGACAAAACAAACATGGACACATGACTGAAACACGGGTCACAGAAAGTAACAGTTACAACTTATCATCAGTTATCATGCTGTAACTGCTCACTATTATGTTATTTCTGCTTAATGTATTTTGTCTTTTTTGTGAAAAGCATTAAATTCAAAATACAAATACACATTTGAATATATAAGTATATGTATACTCCCATGTATTTCTATGCCTCTGATTGTCAATTCAATTCAATTTTATTTATATAGCGCCAAATCACAACAAAAGTCGCCTCAAGGCGGTTCATAGATACAGAGAAAAACCCAACAATCATATGACCCCCTATGAGCAAGCACTTTGGCGACAGTGGGAAGGAAAAACTCCCTTTTAACATCCAATATTTAAAAGGTAAACAAACAAAAAAATTATTTTGACCAGACTGTAGTCAGACACCTGACTACATCAAGAAGTAGTAGGATCTTTACACTCTGTACCACGTGTCTTCACATTTCCATCTACACAGTGACCTTATAACAGTATTATTAAAATGAAGTAAATTCCACCTTGAAATGAGGTTTGAAATGATGAGTTCTATGTGGTTTAAATGAGCGTTGGTGTACCTCAGCCAAATGTCAGCTTGATAAGAAACGTCAGTCAGTATTTCTTTACCTTTTGATTCAAACACACTGCCACTATCAAAGAGACACAGCAGAGGAAAGGAAGTGGACCCCTGCTGCATTTCATTGAGACATCAAACTTGTTTTTTTATGCTTGCAAGCTGAATTGAAAGAGTTTTCAGTTGCTTACAAAGGCAAGCAACTGAAAACTCTTATTTTAACACAAATATTTTTCATTCTAAGCTGAAACTGAGCTTGAAGTCTGGGGTTTAAGAAGTTAAGAACAGCATCCAGCACATCTGTGATGATTTTTCTATGTTGAAATAGCAGCATTTGAACCATCTGGATCCAGTGCCAGGCCCTTACAGTCCCAGTCTTTGGATCAGATCAGCTGGCCCTCTGCAGCCTTATGACAGAAACTCACCAGTCCAGATTAAAACACTTTCAGCTCCCACAGGCACCAGATTTCCCAGCAAAATATGCTTTGACTCAAATGGTGCTATTAAATTTTCTTTTAAGATACACAGCATGAGCACTGGAAATCATCATAAAGTCCTGCTTCAGCTGCAGTTTGGAGAAGGTGAAGGTCTGTTGTTAGTGTTCGTCCTCTGCAGCGGCACTGGATGCTCGTCACATGGTTTCTTTCTGTCTCATTTTTATTTCATAAAACTTTAAGTTGAGGTCCTTACGTAACGTGTCCCATTCTCATTTTCACCTTTCTGTCACTCGTTCACACAAAGGTTGCCTCTGTTTCAGTGAGATTTTCATCTTAAAAGATTAGTCTGTTAAGTAACAAGCGGAGGGAGGCAAACAGGTTGGTGCCATTTGCTGTGCAAAAATAACATTACCTAATCTGAATGACAAACCCATAGAGTCGTAGGTGAAGATCATGAGATGTCTCATTAGATGAGCAGCAATAGCTGGACCAGTCTGTCTGGCAACAACCAAACGACAACCTAATTTGATGCTCAGTTTGATGTTTCTCCCATGTGACTGGCTGAATTCATATTTGTGCTGAAGAGCGATTGTGCCTAATACATGGCTCTTGACTGTAGTCTTGTTATTGATTAACACTCCCATTGGATAATACAACTTTAGCATGTTTCACTGTAGAAATGGTACTGGCCAGATGTGAAGAATTTACTGGACTCGGACTTATTACTTACGAACCATTTAAATATCTGCACCACCAAACTCAACAATGCATTTTTTTTGTTAACTTGACTGTTAATTAAATCCCTAAACGTGATGCTACATTGTCTTTGACCAAATATTATTCTATGAATCACTTTTAAATGATTATGTTGCAAGGTTTAAAACATTTGTTCCTCCACTTGCTTCATTTCACGTGAATGTTAAACCTTGCTCCACTCTCCCTCCCTTCTGTGCAGCCCTTAATCTGCTGCGTTTAGTTATTAGCTGGACTGGAATGTGTTGGGGTTCTTGGGCCAAGCTGTCCTGACACGTTGCAGCAGCACCAACAGACTGCTGACTGGAGCTGGACCAGGAGGAGTCCTCTGGATCCTTATTTGTCCTGCTTCACCTGTATGACTTGATTAAACAGCTGCAATGAATCAGAGCAAAGAGGGAGTTGAGCCTTTTCAATATTCCTATTATGACTATTCAGACTGGTACTCAAACAACGCAGAGCCTACAAAACCACCCAAAGAGTGAGTATAAAAAAGTTGAGTCAAAGGTGTCAAATGGGGCCATAAGCATTGATTATTTTCACAGGTTGGGTCCTGGTACATCAACAAGGTCAGAAAAGTGCTGAGATGTGGTGGTTTGATTTGTTTTAGGCTTACTTTGCACATTTTTTAATGATGGTTTTAGTCCTTATTTTCTTTTTGTCGCAGAGTTATTTTACCATGTGACCCGACAGCAGATGACAAGCTCTTCCATATATGCATATTATCGATATCAGTAAGTATACTTGGACCTGACTACTCTCTTAAGGGCGGGGGGTTGCTTTGTTGGGTTACTGCAGATAAATTGGGGTCACTTAAAATACAGCATAATATCAAACTTGTTGAACACATTAGCACTCTCCATCACCATATTCCAAACACCAAAAGAGGGAATAATTTAGAAGAATGATGTTCTTCTTAATCCAGTACAGATCCACAGACGTGGAGAATCAATATTACAGTGCACTGACGTTGTTCTGGTTGTACATGGTGACACAACACCTTACTCAAGTCACTGAGTGTTGCTTTTTTTTCTTTAACTTATCACCATCTAAGTTATGATCATATGGGAAATAATGCTAATAATGCATTAATTTATCGGACCTATAGGCTACTGTAGTAGCACAATGAAATGTAGTATTTATAGCTTTGCTTCATTAATGTATAACTGCAAATTGTTGTTGTGTTAGGCTAAAATAAGTCCCTTTATAATTTAAAAGGTGTCTAAGGAGATGCAGCTTTAAAAAGTAAAGTATTATATATTACTCTTTACTTTTCTTATAAGTAATGCAATGCAATTAATTACTTTCTTTGTGATTCATTACTTAGTAATTAATTAGTAATTCATTACACTACTCATTAAAATGCAATAAAAAATAAGAGGATGCATATCCACTCCTCAAAGGCTGTATCACCCCACAAGCTTTTTTCCTCCTGCACAAGAACTGAAATTGGCTGATTGTGGCGCGAATCAGAATCAGAATCAGAATCTGAATACTTTAATAAGTGCACAGAAAAAAAACATTTGTTAGATGTTTTTTTTTAATCCACCTGTGTGCAGATGACTGAAGAACGCAGTTTATAACACAAGCAGTGGCAAAATTTAAACTGTAATGAAATGACTGAATTTAGTTCAGTAACATGCTACATTACTGTGTTGCTGAAAATGTAGTGTGACTACAGTAATGTGTTACTTTTTAATCTGTTACACCCAACACTGCTTGTTTCTACAGTAAGGCAGAATGAACAAGAGAAACACTGATAACTTTGTAGTTTCTTGGGAATGCATGGCTTAAGCAGTTTATAGCAATTATAGACTGTATAAAAGAGTGGACATTGTCACCAATGTAATCCGCTAGTCATCTTAGTCTTAAGATAGCTTTTTGCAAACAAACATAACAAGCAGGGGTCAGCTCTGACTCACAAGCCAAGAAATTTTTATGTAGTATCAGATAAAATTATAGATTTGAATGTCTGCTGCCAACACAGCTTGAACATTTAAACTATTCTCCTTTTAAGTGGAACATAAGAGGATGAGAGAGGTTCATTTCCCAGTACATCCTTTGGTGCATTTTCCAGGAATCCGTCAGTTGTCTTTGCTCCCAAAGGATATGCCATTTAGGGACTTTTACTGTCATTTAGCCTTCAACCAATTACGAATGAACACAACTGACTCAGTCATAAAAATCCTTCTACTGTGTATAGAATGGACACGACCCAATTTCATTGTACGGTAAACAATCTGAAAAACTATTAGAGGTGGGTCATGAAATATGTTTTCTACCAAACAAGGTTATTTATTTGAGGTTCTTCTGACTTATAGGTCAGTTCCTGACATATCTACAGTGCTGTGTTATTTTGGAAAGTTGAAGTTTTAATGAGCTCCTGGAGCTGGCAAAGGCTCTGATAAACACAATCAAATACAACTTAGCCCTGAAAGATAGGGGGCACAGTAAAGCCTTATCATTTAGTGACACGACAGCATATTAAGAATAACGTTTGCAGTTCACCATTTGTACCTGAAACGAATGTCATAATCCTGTCTTAATCAGATTGTCCTATCATTTCAAGGAAGCATTCGATTACACTTGTTTACAAGTGTGTTACAAACAGTCTTTTTTTATGAATCTGCCAACATTTTGGGGCAGCTTTTGACAAAAGGAAACTTTTTAGAACAAGCTAGCCTAAAATTACGTTTCCAGCATGTAATGTAAAAAAACTATACTACTTTACTATATTAGTATATAATGACAATCACTGATGTGGCATTAACTGTATGACGCGTAACGGAAGATCTAAAATTTTGTCCTTCCATCTAGCTGGTGATCATGTTAATCCTGGCAGGTCTCACCAGGAAAAATAAATTCTGCCAGGGTTTCGCAAGAGGATCCTCAAGCATCTTCAGGTAAATTTGGTAAATACAAATTTAACTGCACATTTGTCTCATGTTATCTGAGCCTCCCTGTGTGATCTCACAGTCCAGCCAACTTCCTGGATCAGACTCAGAAAAAAGGAGTGGTTATGGCTGTTTTTGGACTGGTGTTCAGCAAGCTGGCAATGCTGGTGATCACCCCAGACCCTCTGCCTTTCTCCAAAGATACTCCAGCAGATAATAAAGGTAGACATCTGAATGCTTGTTTGTTCTTTAGTTGCAATGAAGATTGTAATTGCTTCAGTTATATGGTGGTTTGATTATCATGCCAGTCAGTGGTTTTTGAACATACACTGCCTTTATTATTATCCCTTTATTATTAAAAATCAGATTATTCACGTGGAGGATTCTAGAGAGTCCTTGTTTTTCCATTTTGTCTATACTGATTAGATTAGAGGTTTCATTTTAGGAACTGATATGCCCTGTCTTTTTTTGGGTCCTTTTTTTCCAGAGTACATGAAGATAATCGCCATATTTTATTACCCAATCCTGTATTATCCTCTGTTGGTATGTGGAACTCTGCAGCGCAAAGCAGGTTATGTGTTTGGGACACTGCTCTCCTTCACTCACTTTGGAGTCCTGGTGTGGCAGAAATTTGACTGTCCAAAGACTCCAGAGGTAAAATACCAACAAAAAAATACTGATGTATAATGTTTAAGGGAAACAAATGAATTTCATATCTGAGAAGAATACTTTCTTTAAAAGTTTATGTTGCCCTTCTGTTTTCAACGTCAGACTTGGTATAAAAAAATCCTACACAGATTTCAAATATCTGCTGAATTTAAAGACATTTGTTGCTATGCAACCTCATGGTAGATTTTGAGGTGCATGAACAAGCTACTGTGGCAACAACTCAACCAATCCCAAAGATTTTCCTTTCCATGTTTCACTTTCATGACATGCTTGTACAGTGTTGATCTTGCTTCTAGTTGTAGCAGACATAAGCTAGTCTAGTTAAAAAGTTTGAAAACAGTGCAAAAGCTGGAAGAAATAAAACCCAAACAAGATGGGAACAGCCAAGTCTGGTTATAGTTGTTTAACTTTTGTGATTTGTCATTAAGTAAGTCCTTTAGTAACTGATAATTTTATATAATTTTGGGTTTGTATAAAATACATCACGTTACAATTGAAGGAACTGATACTTTAAAGGACAGCATATTTTATTTGTTTACAGATCTATAAATACTATGCTCTACTCGCAAGTCTGCCTCAGCTGGCCTGCCTTGCATATCTCTGCATTCAGTTCCCTTTGCTGTTTGTGAAAGGACCAAAGACGGACGAGGTGAGAAAAGTCAGAATACACAAACATTCTAAATTTCAACATTCTAAAAATGTATGATATTTATCTCTGGCTGTGGCTGGTGCACACGAATAAGTACGTAACATAGTTCAATTATGTAAAACAGAACTGTGATTACAATGAGCAGCTTGTGCAGAAAAAGAACAGGTTTAACCCTGTGTCCTTCAGCAGATTATGACGGGAGAGGTGACATTTTCCCACCTTCAAATATATTAATCCAAGACTTATACTTCAAAAGCAGATTAAATCCCCAACAAACACTAATTGGTAACATTGAAATTACAGAGTTATGAAGGAAATTAAACTTGTAGTTATGTTCTGAAATACTGACACCTTAAAATGTTTTTGCTCACAGGACCTTGACAGTAGCTACTACACCAACTATGTGAAGTTACTTCTCAAGAAAAAGTCCTCAACTGCCAGGTGAGCAGAGATTAAAGAGTGATTTATTTTATTAGACTCAGAGTGGTGACACAAAAAAAAACATGATAGAGGTCGGGATCATATTTCAATGAAGACGACAAAATTTATAATGAAAGCTTGCTCATTGGCAGTTTTGCTGCTGACTTTAATGTGTTCAGTTCCAGTTCCATTAACTGTGCCATTACAGTGAGCTAGCAGCTTACTTTGTTGCAGTGTGATCATTTTCTGACTTCTCAGTTTCAGAATGTAATATGTGACAAAGGCCTGATAATGTTTGTAGGTTTATTTTTAATCGATATTTATAGAGTAGTATTTGCTAAAGATTTTCCTTTCAGAATATTCTTTTCTTTCTACATTGTATTAGCTGACTGTCACTGGTACAGAGCCCAGGCTCCACAAGTTATAAGCTAAAATAATCGCTCTTTTGGAGTAACTTCAAAAATGAGATTAGTGGAGTCTAGCATTTGATATTAAATCAACTGATCATTTGCTTCTCTGGCTTCATGCAAATCAAATTAATTGCACTTTCAAGCCACATGCCAAAATTATTATTTTTTGTCTGTTTTTTAAAAGTGAGATTCCTACTGGCTTCAACTGTGTAATGGTGTATAATCCTTTAAACCCACAAATATGTTGAAATTTACCACATTTCTCACCACATGTATGCATGATTTTCATTCAAAGTAAAAGCATTTTAAAACTGTGGATTACCTATATTTGCTTGCACCTTCAAAGGTGATAAAATTAGGATAGTTAAAACAACCAAATTCACCTTAAAAATCCAGGTTACTGTTAAGACTGATAGGAAGAAGAGGAAGAACAAAGTTATTTTCAAAACAAGGTACAAAGAGTTTACGTGCAATTAAAGAAGTATGAGTGAAGTTTATTATATAAAGACAGGCCAAAAGCAAGTGACAGTTTTTAAAAAATAAAGAAAATGCTGAATTAAAAAAGATGAAGTGTTATCTTTGTTTATCTTCAACAGGCCATTGAACAATTAAGGTGCTTACAGAAGGTTTACTGTATATTTCGGGGGATAAACCTCTATAACCGAAATGATCATTGCAAAATGGGATTTGGATATTTATTCAGCTTTACCTGACGATCAGTCTGACTGTGTAATTCTGAATCAGCTCAAGTTTGTTTTCTTTGTCTTTGTTGTGTGAGCAAAAAAAATGAGAACAGTGGATTAATCTAATCAAAATCAAAGGTAGTATTTTCTAAATTATTTTATAGACAAGGTTTTTTAATTTTGAGAACTGTAATATGCATAAATAAACAATTACGTTAATATCCTTGTTGAAATTTTAATTATTTAAAGATATTTTTTAAGCATTTATTAAATAAATACTTACTGGAAGACTGAGATGTGAACCAAAATAGGAGGAAATATAGTACTACAGTGTTGCAATGGAGCTTGTGGCCTTGAATTGTTACTGTAGAAAATGTTTGGTTACTAGCGTAACCCAGATTCTCTGAAAACCAAGGGGGATATGAGAGATTATTCTGATTCTGATTATCTGATGGATCATACCGGAGGGCTCTTCCCATAGTGAGGTACTGGGGGAGGCTTGAAAAGGAACTTGCAATTCAGTTGCAGATATCAGCAATACATAAGTAAATAAGTTAAATAAATTAAATATAAATCGCATTCATGTAGTTTGCAGCTCTCACGACTTGTTCTCTTGTAGTTTGTCAGCATCTGACAAACCAGCGCTTGCAGAGAGAATTCTGGAGGTGATTAAGGGTTACATTTATATTCCTGAAAAAGGTGAGTGTTCTCATACAGATATATTTTTTATGTAACGCTGACTTAACTTCTTCTGCATATCTGACATATTGGAAATGCTGCAGTAACCTACTTGATCATTTTTCCTTTCAGTGTTTCGTTTTCCACTGAAGCTGGCGGTATCATCTTTTGTTACCTGTGTGGCTATACACCATGTGAGCTTAAATAAGCCAATAATACCTTTACCTATTTTAAAATGTCATACCATCTTGGTTCATTTGTTTTACATTCACCATTGCCTGTTTCACCCTACAGACCGCACTCTTGATAGTTGTCCTGGTGGTGCCCACTCTCCACATTGTTCGTGCTGGTATTGATGAAAATATCGCCTTCTTGTTACTGGGTTTTGGGATTGTGTTATCAGATGACAGGATGGAGGTTGTTAGAATTGTAACTTTTTACACATGGCTGCTGGAAGGTATGTGGGTCTGTTTGCTGTCCCTGTAACAAAATACCAAAGTATTTTTGTTTTAAAGTAAGACTAATTTGTTTTTTCTTTTGCATCATTTGCTTGTTAGTATGCTACCTCTGTGCGATGACCCTGTCTTGCTTGGTCAGCCTTATTATGCTCATGAGGTCCATGGTTCTCCACAGGTATGTGCAGTAAATCCTCAGAGACTGGAGGCATTGGTTAAAGGAAACTCTATTTTCTCCATGAAAAGTTTACTTATTCTGAATACTGATTATAGTCTAACCCCAATATTGCCAGACTTCTCATTGTTGCCTGATGATAAGTATTTCAACTTTGTTACTTATTTTTCTCTAGATTTTTCTCAGACAGGCCTTCCTGTCTGAACCTGATGTGTCACTGGCTTAATGTGTTTCAGATCAAACCTAAGAGGACTGTATAAGGGAGACATTTACAAGCTTTGCAACAACCAGAAAACCATGCATCCGTCTAGAACAGGTGTTGTCTGTTGGATGGGCTTGACGGGATACCAGGCTGCAATCGTCAGCCTTGGTAAAGCTTGAATAAACTGCATCACTGACTTTAGTTTTAAGAATAATGCTGGAAAATACCACATCATGAAAAGAAAAAAAACAAAACCCTTTTGACTTGTCCTTTTAATAGGGATTGTCTCTCAAAAAGTTTTTTGTCCGAAGAAAAGAACTACAACTAAAAAAGACAGGCTGTTGATCTGGATGGCATGTTCCCTTATTACCATGAATGCACTCATTGTAGTTTACTAAAGTACTAACTATGTAGTAATCCAGCTTTGCAAATGCTTGTGAGTGATGCTTAATAAAACCTGTAGTGCTGGCCATTTAAAAAAGGCTTAAGGGGTTAAGGAAAAAAAATACTTTTAGAAATGATTTTAATATTCAAAGTGGCCTGTTTCTGTGTTAACTCTGCAGGAATGGCTATCCAGACCATTGTGTTTTTCATCTGCTTCTTGTTGCTGGTGTTTTTGATCATTATCCCAGTGTTTTACGGCCGTAACATCATTGTCTTTGAAATTGCAGGAAAGGCATGGTGAGTCAGCAACAATTCATATAGCTCTTTCCTTTTTTCTCTTTTCATGAATCAATGATTCAAAACACTTTCATTTTCCACCTTTGTGATGTCTCAGGCCGGCCTGGGTCACACTGATACTGGTGACAGGGCTTCAGCATGTGACTGCTAAGTTTGCTTTCATCAAACAAAAAGCCGGCACAAGAGACCTGAACAACAGGTGTGTTTGTTTAGTCCTACTCATTTGTTGGAATGCAGTTTAATTAGGTTTTGTTTATTACTTAGACATTTCAATTACTAGTTGTAATTTTATTTTTGTTCGATACTAATAAAAATGCAATGCAATTCTGAGGATGAAACTGTTTAATTATTAGTAACACGTGTCAGTTATTTAGTTTAGCTCTTTTACAGCATAAATGATGTCTTTAAATTACAAAGAACTGAATAAATAAATAAATGGTTTTCCAACTATTAGTACTGAAGGCTTTGTATCTGTATCGTCAAAAAATACTAAAGAAGTAGATTAAGTAGATTACAACATGAATACTTTCTCACTGGGATTCAACTTGTTAATTAGAGACATGCAACTACTTCTGAGGACACTGGGGTCTTTGTTTTGTGGGAGAGGGGGCCTCAGAGAGTTTCTGTTGAGTAGTTTTAGCTTTAGGCTGAAAACTGATTCAAAAACATCCATTTAATACAAAGACATTATTTAATTTATATAGATTGTTAAAGAATAATGAGTGGTTTTATTTAATTTTGTACTGAGGCATAAAGTTGGAGAACAAAGAACAAATCTAGCTGAAAGGGTTGAGATTTCTTGAGTTTTAAGACCTATTATGGTCCAATCTCAAATACCATTTCCCACAATGCAACTCAGAATCCTTTATTTGTTGTTGTTGTTTATTTGTTATTACTTCATTTAAAAATGTGAAGCCTCCACTCATCAGAGGTCAGCACTTTCAGGGTCACAAGCTCTGTCACAGGCTTTGTATTGCTAATGTAATTAACTTCATGTTTACACTCAGTTTTTTCTCACAGTCTCCTCCATGATGCTTTTCAGAGAGAGTCTGTTCCTCCTGACGTACCTGCTGTTCCTAATCAACACCGTGGTGGGGCTGGTTGTTGCCATATGGAGAATAGTAATAACAGCTTTGTACAACATCATCCATCTTGGTCGTATTGATGTCAGTCTGCTGCATCGCACAGCAGAGTCCTATGACCCAGGTACGATTCATTCAATTTGTCTACAACAATGGAATCCTGGAGTATTGAGGAATAGGCTATATAGACCTTTGTGAACACATCCTTTATGTACAGTAACACTGTTACTAATTTTAATCATCTTGAATGACTTGATGATAATAACAAAAGTATGCAATTGCATTTTTCAGACAGTCTGATTTAAATTCTACTCTGTGACCTTTAACTCTATTTAGCCTACTGCTACTACACACACTTCCTGAAGGTGGAGGTCAGTCAGTCGCACCCGGTGATGAAGGCTTTCTGTGGGCTGCTGCTGGACATGATGGTTGGGGGTGGGAGAGCTGGACAGAAAATACAAGATGCAGAGGAAGGTAGAAATCCTAAACTGGAAACACATAAAGACAAACATCCTCTCTCTCTCACACACACACACACACACACACACACACACACACACACACACACACACACGCAAACACAGTCCAGCTTTTGTGCCACTACATTTAAAACATATTGAACATTAAGTATTTAATAAGAATGTAATAATAGTGCTTTATGAAAAAAAATGCGTTGTGGGCAGGAGAGGGAGTTGTTGTAATACCTAGAATGATCACAATTGGAAAAAATTAAGCAGTGCTGACTTATTCTTTTAATACAGCCGTGGTTTAACTTCTGAAGGCCACAATGTGTTACTCTCAACATGTCAAGCTCAGCTCTACACTGTCCAGCTTAATTATCCTCACTGTCAGGAAGAGCTTTTACCGTAGACTCAGCTAATTGCTACTGCTAATGCTGTGGTCCAATCATAATATGTTTATTATTTAGCATTTCTGCTTATTATGCTGCCATGCTGAAATCTGCATCCTGGCAATCCTCACTTTATGATTATTACTACTGCATGTTGCAATTGTGTAACATTGTTAGTATAAATGATAAAAAATTTAGCTTACAGGAAAGAGCAACATTTATCACTTTAGAATGGCATGCCAAAATTAGCACAGGACCATTGTGTTTTCATTAAATCCACTTTTCTCTATATTATATTATAAGTTGCTGACTCTCAGATGAATATGCTTGTAATGACAAATATCAAAATGGATATTTAGTTGTGTAGCTTTTACTGACTACAATTTCTAAACCCACAGAGCTGCCAAATACAGAAGGCTTTGAGTGTTTCTCCACAATGTGTTCTTTTCAGTGACACACACATGAAGCATGCTTATGCTGTTATATGGGGTTGTAACAATTTCTTAGCCACTGTTTTCAAAATACGTCATGCATACATTGATACATGACACTAAGCATATTCAGCCCCTTGGTTTGCTGTCTCGTTCTTCCCTCAGCCTGCTCCTCCTTCATGCTTTCAGGAATTCAGGAGAATAAGCCAAGCAAGGCGAACAGCAGTCAAAGGATTCGCTCTCGCTGGCAGCTGATGTACACATTGGTTAACAACCCCTCCCTGCTGTGCTCCAGGAAGCATTTTCAGACTCTGCAGAACTCGGAGAACGTCCTGAATGGCACCCCCAACCGAACCTCCAAAAAGGGCAGCAAGATGGAGGCCAGCAAGCTGGGCGCAGAGCCAGCAGAGCCTACTGAGACCCCTGAAAGCCAAGAAAAAACTGAATGAGTTTGAGTTGGCAATATATTTCAAAATTGTACTGGGTGTAATCTGCATTAAACAAACCTGCAAGTGCTAAATATAACTACTGCAATCAACCGCTTTGCTTCAGAGATCTTTTAGCATTTAACTTATGTAAATAGTTGTCTAAATTATTCTGTTTATTTCTCTTAGGTTAGCTTTAGGCAACAAAAACATTACATTAAGATCGCATCCAGAAAGCACAAAAGTACAGAATATGTACTTAAACAGAAGTACAGATACTAGTGTTAAAAAATACTCCAGTGAAAGCTGAAGTATGGATTCAACTTCTATACTAAAGTAAAAAAGTACCGGCTCTGAAATGAACTCAAAGTAATAAAAGTAGCTCTTTGGAGAGTGTTTCTACTACCTATTTTTGTGCAAAGTTAACTGAACTCTGTGCTGTATTAATGTAATGATAAAATAATATCAGTAGAGGGAACAAAAAACATGTTTCAGTCTCATTTTTAATTCTAATAAATGTATTCAGCTTGAATCGATTATGAGAAGAGAAAAAGAAGGAAATAAAATAAAATAGCTCTTTTTTTTGTTGCTTACATTGCCGAGGCTGATTTTGCCTCTAAAAATGAGTACAGTCAGGGGTTAAAGTGAGATTCAGCAGGTGCAGGAAACCTAAAATCAGTTCTAATGGCTCAGAGTGGGGAAAAGAAAAGCATCACACATGAAATTAAATAACACAGTTAGGGTTAGTCTACCTCAGTTTTTGTTGCAGCTTGTTTCACAATATGAAAAAAACGTGTAACATGTACAGACCCAATATCTGATTTAGAATAAAATAGACCTTTATTGTCATGTACAATAAAAGTATAGAAATTATAATTTAAAAACATGAAGACATCATGTAAGCTTTAAACTTCTGGTTTATCAAATCCTAATGAGGAAATAGCTGTAGTCCTTATTTCTCTTCTTCCTCTCCTGTCCTGTCTTTCTTATCTCCATCTCTGAATGAATTTAGCTCTCTGACTTTTCTCTCCCTGTGAAATAAGCAGTAGCAGCAGACAAACTGCGCACAAACAGTGTTTTTGATGATGCTTGCTGTGCTGATAAAAATGTTGTATGTGAAATTACCTGCCACTAAAACTATGTCACTCCATTTTTGTTTTGTCCTCTTCTGTTAGGCTAGCTAGATGCTGAAGTACTTGTGTTGTGTCGGTGTTGTGCCAGAAAAAAAGAAAGCACAAACCACTTTAACCCCTGACTTTGGCACACAGGTTTGCCTCTTTCATCTCTTTTCCCCTGGTGAACAGGACTGCCTGTCTTGAGTTACTGTTCAGGCTTAAATCGGTTTGATGTATGAAGGCCCGCAGTGACGTAAAATAATAACTCCCTGTCAAATGTTTTAAAACAAAAGTAACAAGTCTGTTAAGAAGTAGAACGTACAGATATTTATTTTAAAATGTAGGGTGCAAAAGTAAAATGTTGTCAGAAAAAAAACTACTCAAGTAAAGTACAAATACCTGAAAATTCTACTCAAGTTCAGTAAGTTTTTGTAATTCGTTACTGTATGTGTAACAAAGTAAATCATAGGCATTGTATGTGAAGTTTGTGTTTACTGAGATAGCTCACAGAACTCCCTCACACAACAGTTAGAGTGACAGAGTTCTCTTTGCCACAAATTGACTCCACCAGTTAAAACTACTGAAAGTGCTGCAGGGACACACTGAAGCCTGACCCAAAGGAACCACTGTGCATTTCTCAGTGCCAGAGAATAAAGGATGTGCTGAGAAGTTCCCAGTCGGTGACCCAAAGGGTCAGAGACCCTAGGTAGTCTACAACTTAATATGTGGTTATAATCTTGAGGTTGATTGGAGTGTCTATCACTAAAGTATCCCTGCAGAGTGTACATCACATTTCAACCAACCAAAAGGAACTCTGAAGAAATGTGGCTGCGAAAAGAAGATCCAATGGGATTCCAAAAGAAATATTAATAACAATGCAGGTCTCAGCTCATGTATGAAAAATATAATTTAATTTTGTTAAGCTTTACTTTACAGTATTGTTCAATTAGTCTGGAAGCCTTTTTAATTAGTTAATACTGACTTGCATGACGCACAGACTGATGGCAGTGATCAATGTCAGCATCAGACATGCAGCACGGAGTCAATAAGCAGTCCTAGTTTATTTTTGTCTGGGTAATGTAGCTATGCCAGCCCATACTGATTGGATATTTGTGTTCTCAGTGGTGTAGGAGGATTTTTAAGACCATGGACGGGCAAATTTATATATAAACCAACTTCACAGCAAAATCTCACAAGCTGAAGATACAAATATTTTATATTTACTCTAGTATAAACATTGTTTTCTGCTGCAGAATACAGTGTACGATCTTAATATGCTGTTAGAAGACTGTATGTGTGTTTGTTTTTATTTACATTTCAGCTTTGTCATAATATCTTATCTCATATTTAGATACCTAATTACAGTTTCCTATTAGTTTCCTATTATGTTTGCTGTTTTACATACAAGTCCTGAAGATAAATAAAAAAGCAAAAAGATAATGTGCTAGTAAATTTGCATATTTCTTTTTTTAGTCATTCTTTTAAAACTATGTCAATATTTTTTTAAAGAAAATTCACAGTTTTTATATGAATTTATTTTGTTGATGACTGTAAATTACTATCCAATAATGCATGCATCTTCTGGGCTCAGCCAATCAGAGCCAGCAGATTTCGTTACACAGGCATTTTGCCGTTACAGGGGCAGAAATATTGCTGTTAAGTGCCTTCATAACTTGAATTTTTCGTTAAATGGGGTATTCGTAAGTCGGGGTTCCACTGTACTAAGAATATTAAGCAAATATATTAAATATTATATGTTTTCATGGTTTAATACAGTTCTTGCTTGGTGAGTGAAAATATCCTGAAATGTAAATGTTTCAGACTGGGCTGACATCTTATTACTGTTAAAGAAAGACAATAAACTAAAAGGGTAAATAATGGAGGACATGCTGACCAGGGTAAGGATATACTACTTTACTGTAATTTAACAGTAAAAATTTCCTCCTGTGTACTCTTCCAAATACCAGAATTTATCATATGTTTAGTGTTTATTGATCTTATTATCTTAATCATTAAGCAGCTTTCTTGTTTGATCTAGTCATTAGTAAGTTTTTACTAAGAAGTCTTTTACTTCCTGTTTTTCTTTTTTTAATGTTTAACTTACATTTTTAAGGAATCACATGATCATTTTTACAAGAACTTGTGCATCATCTTCCATGCATGTACATTTCACCTATTGCATTATTGTTTTCTGATTAACAAAACAATGTTAGTGCTTCAAGATGTGCACTGTGAGATAAAATTTGAATGAATAAGAAATTACTTTTTAAAAGTAAACAGGACTGACAGTTGAGGTGCATTACATTAGAGTGATAGAGAGACGTTCCAATGAGTCACAGTGCACGGACAAGTGGACAAGTTACACGAGAAGTACAGGCCAGAATGCTTGAACTGTATGGGTACTTCTTTGCTGCGGGCGTTCTCTTAGGTCCACTCTCAATTGCTCCATTTCATCACTAAGCATCAATTAAAAGTTGTTCTGAGTGATCATCTTTATCCTGTCATGAAACATTTATGTTCTGAAAGGAATGACTCCAGCCACATCCCAAGACTGGTTACTGAATAATCTGATGAATATAAATATGACACAAATTATATGCTATGGCCTTCACAGGGTTAGACACGTTAGCGTGCTGTCCACCATGGCATCAAAAGCATGACATTTGTTTGAAGAATGGCGCTTTGCCCCTGCTATGTGGATTAGAAGGACTTGGAGAATATACTGTAGGTATGCCAAGGTACACTGACAGCTGTGCTGGCAGCATGTCGTAGCCCACTTTGAATTTTGAGAGAGAGGAAAACAATGTGGGGTTTTTTCAAACTTTATTGAGGCACATAGGGCAGTTACAATATTTAAACACTTTGGTAAAAACATACTGTTCCCTTTATCACAGGGATAAAAAAAACAGAAAATAGACAACAAGAAATACTGATCTAAAGTTATTATTTGGGCCATTTATAAGACACAACATACTGTGACTCCACAACAGGCAGCATGCAGGTCCTCTAACACTGTGCCCTGGGAAAAACAGCAGGACGGACACATGACCCAGATACAACAGAGCAATAACAGAGCACACACACACACTCATAGGTGCTTCTACATTTGGAGTAGGGTGTCTACATTTTATCACGATGGAGTCTGTTTAAAGCAGCCTTATATTTGGAGTCAACACACTTCTCCTTATTGGACATGTTTACCGTATAGCTGAACAAAATGCTCACAGCTGCAGTACACAAAGATTTGATGTTTTTTTTATGAAACAACACAGTTTTCATTAACATTTAAACTCCATTAAGTGATTTTTTATTAAATTTCTATTTTAAGCCACTACACTCCTAATAGAAGCACACACATTTACTTTAAAGCAGAACATAGGCATATTTGTTAGTACTGATTTCACTACGCACATTGCTTTGTGCTGCAATTCATATGTGACACAAGTCATTTTTTTTCCCTTAATCAAACCTTGATTGTGACTGTTGTACTCATCCTGACAGGCAGAAACGTGTGCTCTCATCCATGACCCGCCTACTGTTATCTAGAAACAGGTTTAGCAACAGTGCTTAAAAATGAATGAGATATCAACGTTTCTGAGGTTACATAGGCTTCCATTTCTTGTCATACCTGCACTCATGTAAACGTGGATATAACCGTTGAATAACTGGTCTGAAAAAAACATTTACATGCAGGACTTAGTGTTGGTTAGTCATAGTGTGCACTTTGAAATTATTAATAGATATTCAGTCCCTACTGTGGAAATTTTACCTTCACACCACAGAAGATTTTATTCTTGCTGTTTTGGTCATACTGTGAATTTTTAACTCGTAACTTTCTGATTTTATGTAAACAGCATTTACTGGGATAGAGTTACTAAAATTTGGTCAAGTCCGTGCATGTTTTGTGGGGCTTTTTTTTCTTTCTCAAGATCACCAGTACTGAAATAAATTTTTAAAAAGACGTTTGAATAGTATACTTGCTATTGTGTGCATGTGTGTATATGTGTATTTTCGTGTAGATCTGTATCTAGTAGGGGTGCAACAATACACAAAATTCACGGTTCGGTTCGATACTTTGGTGTCACGGTTTGATATTTTTTCGATACAAAAAAAATGTTCATGCCTTTTTAATTTGTCATTTATTAAAATTATAAATATATATTTTACCCCAAAAGTACAGTTTTTAAATTTAATGTTGCTGAAACAACAAAGTAATAAAAAAAATATATATATATATATCTGATTGAGGAATCACTCATCTTTGGAAAAGAGAGTTTATTACAGAGAAATGGCTCTTTCCAAAATAAAAGCTATACTATACGCTTCTTCTGGGCTATATTCTCAGCAGCATATTAAACATATCAGGTCCCCATAAGGAGAATCATGTGCTAACGGCTGTCTAAATGACACGGGTAAAGTTTGTAGCATGCGTGCTTGTTGTTTTTGTCTGCTTCCACTTGTCTTTGCACTAGGATGCTGTCGGCGTAAATGTGCAGTCATATTCGTTGTGTTCCCACCAGTGCTGTCAGTGTAAATCTCATTGAAATGACGTTAACGCCACAACACGGCAAATCTCCGTTAACGAGCTATCGCGGACCACCCTGTGCATGGGGCTGGACGGCCAACACGTTAACGAGTTAATTGCGCTAACACACTAGTTCCCACCAATGTAATTGAGCATTGCGTGGCACATCCAACATACTGTTTTACTTTAGTCCATGACGCGCTTACCTTCAGGGTCATACGTCACATGAAAACCAAAATAGTTCCAAACGCCAGATCTGAATGAGGGTGGGGGAGGTTCAATTTGCCATGTTGCAAGGAGAGCTTAACTTCTGTCTCACTAGCTCGCCCTGCGCTCAGTGAATCTGCGTTCGACTACTCTGCCTAGGCTGCACTGTCGTGCGCAGATCCACTGAGCGCTCAACACAGACAGCATCGTAAGAAGGAAAGTTGATAAAATAAATTAAAAATTTTGTATTGTTCGATACATATGCATACCGAACCGAAAGCACTGTATCGAACGGTTCAATATCGATACGAGTATCGTTGCACCTCTAGTATCTAGGTGCACATTTAAAAATGTAAAAGATTTTTTTTATTCAAAGAAGAAAACCAGGAATTCTGCAGATGTGGTCACAGTGCATACGTCCTCTATGCTTTTCAGTTTGCTTTCTTTCTTCAACTTTCTCCAACTTTTTATTACAGTTTTCGTAAATTCACTGTAACCTCGAACTTCACCAGGCAGAACAGATCTCTGCATTAAATACACTTCACCCTACAAGCGTGATATTAGAAAGTCTACACACTGCGTGGTTTGCCCACGTGTGAACAGAGCAGGCGATAGTGTGCCCGGTGATGAACATCACATCCTGCCTCCTGCACGCTCCTCACAATGTGCAGGAGGAGTGTTTTCAGTAGTAAATACACATCTGTACAGACAATCCCCTATTTTCTCTTACATGTGTGAAAATGACCAAATGAACTCTTTTTACCTTTAGTTGTTTAGTGCTAAGATCAATCAATGGTCACCATGGTGATAATCATGTTCTCACCAAGAAGAGAAACTTCTTTCCAAATTTTAAAATAATAATTTTCAAGTCATCTCTTAACAAGGTAGAAGTGTACAGACAATTCCTGCTTTGATGGAGGGGATTTTATCAGCGCGTTGTTGTCCTATTTGCTGCACTGGAGTGTCTGGAAAATTTCCACAAGTGATCAATAGACAGGCAACCAGTTGCCCATCCAATCATTGAATGCTGCAGCATGGATTGTTGTTTCAAGCGAGTATAGTAAAGTCATATTTCTATGAAACTGAATGGCACCAACAAATGAAGCAACATAACAATTAATAAACAAATGATAAACAATCCTGGATCCAAGATAATTAAATTCATAATTTAATTATCTTGGATTAACTGATTAACTGATGTAGTTTATTATTCATAAACTACATCAGTAGTCACATTTTAGGGGAAATATGGTTTCCAAAGTCATCATCTACGATAATTTAAACCAGGACACTGTGTTTCAGCTCCTCCGTGGAACCTTTTGATTTAAATTATCATGGTTTGGGTTAAATTCCATGGAGACTGGTCTTGCGCAGCTAATATTTACATAATTGCTAAAAAATGGAGCATCAGAGAAAGGTGAAAATATAACTGATATGTTAATTACAATCAGTATTAATGAAACAAATACAATCATTCTGGAGGATGTCATTTAGTTGTGTGGGATTGTAATTTTGAGGTGGTGGGGATGTTACGAAAGCAAGTTACATTATATCACAGGTAGTGATATTTACTTTTTAATTATTTTATTTGCATTTTTAATCACTAGGGTTTGAGAGTAACGAAATTTCTATTCTCTGTATGTCCTGTACATGTGGCAGAATTGACAAATAAAGTTGACTTGACTTGACTTGACTTGACAAGTTACTGACTGGGATATTTGTAATTAGTTGTAATATTCACTGCTTCAGCTCCCAGAGGCAGCCTGTCACTGTACTCAGATCCCACCTCACAGTCGTCCAAATTCCCCCTGCACTGAGACAAAGTAAAGGAGTCAGTCACCACACTCTCTTCCGTATCAGCCTCCTTGTCCCCATCTCCGCTCTCCGTCTCGTCTTCCTCTTCATCCAGCTGGCTGCTGTCAATCTTCTTCAGAGACTCGGCGTGAGGTGCGTAGATGTTGAAGTTGGTGGTGAGGTTCCTCTCTATGTGATACTGGTCTTTGGCCTTAAGGATCAGCTTGTAGGTCTTGCTGCGGTACTTGTACACCAGGTGGAAGCACGTAGCCCCGAGCAGAGGCACAGTGGACACGGTCAGGAGGCAGATGCTGACTGAGATGATGATGAAAAGGTTTGGCACCTTCCTTCTTGTGGTGAACAGCACGTGGACCTCACAGTCCTCCCCTCTGTAGGTCAGGCAGAGGGAGTAGTTGGTGCCTGGTCGCAAACCGCTGAACTGATACGAGTTGACGCCATCCCTGATCTTCGACCATTGCACGGCAGAATGTTTTAGGTCCGCGGTGACGCACAGATACAAGCCATTTGAAGGGGCTTTTTCTGAGATGTCTGGAAGGCCGTGGTGCTCTTTGTTGTCAGAGGTGGCATCAGCTGCCTGGTTGCCCTTTTGTCTGGCCATGAGAAGAGGATTGAGTCGCACTGTTGCCTGTGTTTCTGACACTCCTAATGCAATCACACCAAAGTCAAACATGTATTTAATGTCATCTAGGCTCCCGTTTGAGACAGGGCTTGAAATATAGCTCGTATTAGCCGTCAAGCCACATTTGCTAGATAGATATTTTGTTAAATCCTCATTAGGTTCGGAAACACTGTCTGCAGTTGGTCGGTGAGTGGGTATGATGCTCGTAATTTTTTTTCTCTGCACGGCATTAAAAGCAGATGCTTTGACTGTTTCCTGGCGTGTAGAAGGGTTTGTTTTAGTGTAACTGGGTACTGTGGTCATTTGCTTCGTGGGTGTTGGTGTAGACAGCGCCATCACCTCAACTAAAACTGAATCCTCCGCTCTTCCAAGCTCATTTGTGGCAGAGCAGCTGTAGTTGCCCCCATCTTCCTTCCTGAGGTTTGAAACGAGAAGTGTGCCGTTATTAAAGACTTTGACTGAATCCGACTCGTAGGACGCCGAGGAGTCCTCGCTGGATTCTGCAGAGCCCTCCTCAGCAAACAACAAAGCCAGCTCCTGTTTTCGGCTTTTGCTGTGAATGCTCCACAGGACTAGTGGTTTTGGGTTTCCTTTGAAATCACAAGTCAAGACCAGTTTGCTGCCCTCATAGAATTGTGCATTATCTGGCTCAGTCCATACTGTGACATTGGGGCTTGTACATTTTGTCTCAGGCAGTTTCCTGATCTCCATTCCTTTAAATTTCTCTGGTGTTGCACAAGTGATGGGACTGTGCTCAGTGAGTGATATGGTGGTTGTTGAAATCCAAACTCTGAACCATTCCAGGGAGCAGGTGCAAGCGAATGGATTATTATAAATCTGCAAATGTGACAAAGACAGCAAACCTTCAAATGTTCCTTCAGCTATGGTCACAAATCTGTTATTGTTGAGCCGAAGAGACTTCAGATCTTTCAGGTTGGAGAAGGCGTCCATTGGCAGGCTGACCATCTCATTGTGATTCATCTTCAGCATATACAGTCCCGTGAGGTTCTGTAGATCCTCCCAAGGAAAGTCTACTATTTTATTGTGGCTGATGTCTAAGTTTTGCAGATGAACCAAAGGCACAAGCGCCCCCTGTTCAATGGACACAATCTCATTGTGTGACATCCACAAGGAAATCAACCTGGTGACATTGTCAAATGTCCCCAGAAGTAGTACACTGATTTTATTAGCAGAGAGACTAATGGTCGCAACACTGGGAGGAAAACCCTCTGGGACTTTATCTAGCTCCTTGTAGGAGCAATCTGCAAAGAGACGGCTGTATTTAACCGAGCAGGTGCAGAGCTGAGGGCAGATCAGTCCTGTGGTGAAGGCTGTAGAGACCCACAAACTGAAGAGGAGGATGTATGTAGCTGCCATTCTTCTGTTCCTGTAAAATGGAGTCACAGTCCATCTGTTAGTGAGTGCATTAAATCGGATAAAAAGTGCTGCGAAAAAGTATCCGCCCCTTCCTGATTTTTAAAAAAAATAAAACCATCATTTAAAAACTGGATTTTGTATTAACTCTGGTTATCTTTGTTTAACTTGAACATTTGTCTGATGATGTGAAATATGTAAGTGTGACAAATATGCAAAAAACTAAAAAACAGGCAAATACTTTTTCACAGTGCTGTAAAAGACAATATTAAAAAGAAGAAACATTGGCATATAAACAACATGAAAATGGAGCGTGTTTATATAATCCAAGACAGATTTGTAAATCATTCAGAGAGTCTCCAAATGAGTTCAAAAAGCTGGAGAGAGTCCTGACTGCATTAACAAGCGTGCACACTGCTCTCTCTGTCAGTCTGCAGCCCGACAGAAGCTACACAAAAAATCTAATTTTCCCAACATTTACACCATTGATACAATGAGCTTACAGATCACCTTACTTTTAGCCAAACTGTGTATTTGTGCTTGAGACTTTACATGGAAAGGAAATGCACACAAAACATCATTTAAATAATTTGCTTCATAGCTTGAAAGGACTGATAATCTTTAGAATTCATGGAATTAAAATAAAATGAAGCTTTTTCTGTTAAAACAGCACAAAGGTGGTTCCAGCTGGAATACTGCTCTATGACTTCAAATTGTTCTTAATTAAAAGCCAAAAGCAGTGAAGTTTGAATGTTTAAGATCCTGGCCAGCAAACAAAATTAAACCAAAAATATAAAGTCTCAAATATTTACAGAGTGTCTCTGGCTCAGTAAATGTTACTGATGCTCTAACTGAGCCCATCTCTTGCAGATACAAGACTAACTATGGAGAAATTTCACTTAGGCATTGGAATTCCTACAGATACAAAAGCAAAACTGTCACTTTTTTTTCACAGTTTTTATAATTTTAACAGTGACAGACAGATTGACCATACCATCATCTAAAGAAACAACTTAGAAACAAAGCCACTGACATCTATCAGTCTGGAAAGTGTTACAAAGCAATTCCTAGCCCTTTGGGACTCCCGCGAACAACTTTGAGAGCAATTATCCACAAATGGAGAAATTTTTAACAGTGGTAAAGTCCGGTCCAGCAAAATGTTAATTTCTCAGTTATTTCTCTGGCTCAGTAAATGTCACTGTTGAACGCTTAAAGTTGATCCATCTCCTGCAGGCACACGAAAAGCTGTGGAGAAATCTCACTACAGTTCCTGCAGAGACACAGACACTGTTCCATGCAGAGAACATGAAATAATATTTAGCAAGCATGAGTTATTAATCCATTTACAATACAATGCTAACCTGTTTTACACCGTGCCGTCTCACTTTTGTTCTTTCTGCGATTCACATAAAACAAACTGTACTGGAGAAAGAATGCCCCACCGCTGATATTCCTCAAGTTTCTTCTCTATTTCTCTTTAAATATTTTCACGCATTCGTGGCTTTCTCTCATGCCAGCTCTGTACTCTGACTAAACACGTTTCTATCGGAAATGGCAAACAAGGAGGAGCCCTGTAGCGTCTGGAAAATCAGGAAAGAAAAGAAAACAGTGACAACGATGTAATTTTCGAAGCTTCGAAGGTATGCGCTGACAAACTACAGTGAGTCAGTGTATCCTTCAAAGCAGCAGTGGTGGAGCTGAGTGCTGGGCCGCTGGGGAAAGCCTTTGGTTTCAAACTACGCAGCAGCCTCTGTCCTTGGTTCTGAAAGATGAGCAGCGCGTCTGCGTCCACGCACCCTGTAATGTCGCTGTGAAAGAAACTGTGAAGCTCGCCACCCGCTGTTGGTCGACCAAAACACCAAAGTTTTCCTGTGCGCAGAGACTTCGACGTTGGGTCAGCATGTAAAAATAATGCTGGAGGAAAGAGCACACCTATTCTCTGCGTTAGCGGCCCTAAACCCGGTGACGTGCTTACCTGCGTGTGATTTGTTTTGCTTGTTTCTGCAGAGAAGCCGCTGTTTGCAGTCACGGCACCGCGAGCTTCAGGCCGGATGGAAGTTTAAAGCTGAATGTGACTTAGCTCGGCTCTCTGGCTGCCTCTACATGATGAAAACACGCGTGTCTCCTGGGATATATGTCAAACTGAGGTATCCCCCCTCCTCACACACACATACACATCTCCCCTACTCATCCTCAGCCCCGGACAGAACTGCACCAGTGTCTCCCCCCCCCCCCAAAAAAAAATAAATTTAAAGGGGAATTGACCGGCTTGGTTTGAAATACATGGCGACTGATGTGAGAGCTCTTTAAATGTGGCAGAGCTGCTTAATCATGACAGCAGCAGCCAGCGATTATCCTGCTGATCAGCCAGATAGTTATTCATCAAGTCTTCATGTGTATTTCAAAGCTTGCTTACTTATCGTACTTAGTTAGTTACAGTTAGTTAGTTGTAGTTAGCATCTGTAAATACGTATTTGTGCTTCTGATGGTTTCCCCAGAAATTGTGTGAAATAGTCGTTAAACCTTAATCTGAAGCAGGAAAGAGGTTTTGAACACACAGCATCACGTTTTCTGATATCAAACAAAACCAAGTTCCTCTCATGCCCACTTAAACCTGGCTCCAAAACAAAACATTTCACTCAGACTTCAATGTTAAAATATCTGAAATATCAAAGGAAAAAGCATTAAAAGATTTTAAACCTTCGAAAATGACCTAGACCTTAAAAACAGAGAACCAGTATATGATCATAGCGAAGAGGTCGGTGCATTTCTACCAAGTTGAAACAGGGCCGGCTTTAATCTTATCTAGTACCACTCTGAAACACAGGATGGGGAGCTGAGTGAGTGTATACAGTTCAGCAAGAGAGGTCTTTCAGCTGCCTTGGGATCTGGAGCTGTGAGGGATATACTCCTGTGTTCAGTCTAGCACAGCAACAAATTCAGAAAAATTTAGATTAGGAAGCACTGCTCAGGCATCACTAACAATGCAGCAAGTAGAACCTAGACCCTTGCTTTTGGCAGGGGTATCAAAATAAGGCACATGGGCCAGAACTGGCCCAGCAAAGACTCCAATCTGGCCCAGCTTCATGGCTTTGGAAAATGTGAAGGAGGACATCAGTTCTGGACATTTGACAAAATTTTCTGTCAAACATTACAGCTTTTGCTATACTCATCCTACATCAGAGTACTTAAGTAAAAGAAAAAGAACTCAGTGACTTTCTGTGTCATAATTACAAGACAGCCTGTGCTATGAGCTACCAGAACTTTTTCCGTAACTGCACATGTTTATTTCTTCCAATTTAAGAAGAAAAAGTCGCACTGACAGATTATTTACTTTTTAAATTTCTTCAGCAGCATTTCTTTATCATGTAGAAAAATTGAGATTAGATTTATTTTTATTGTATTAAGATATCTCAGGTTTTAAATATGTAGTTAAATTCCTTTACGCTGACAGAAAGGGGACTTCGGCTGGTTGTGCCTTGAGGCAACAGTTGTTGGGAACTGGCCCAGCTTATTATACACAGCAGTTGCAGTACAGATTACAAGGTTGACAGTTTTACTGCTGTTTATGTGCACTGCTGCTATCTTGGATTGTGAACACAGAGTTATTGGGAAAGCTCCAACTTTCCGAGTTGGAAATATGACTTATTAAAGGTCCATTTGAAAATTCTGACTGGGAACTCAAGAATATCAGCTTCTGACTTGAAATGGAGTGGACTGATATCAACATTATTCAAGATAATGTTAAACATATAATGTGATTCATGTTATTCACCAATTTACTTTGGTACCTATGAAAGCACAGATTAAAACACAAAAAACAAACAACCAGATATTTGTTTCAAAGTCATTTTTCAAAATAAAAATAAAAGGTATTTGGATGCTCCTTATTCCCCTCACAGTACATCCGTATATTTGATTTACCACTGACTTTATGCTGGATGTTGATCCTGATGCTCTCATTTACCCAGGCTTGAGACCAATATGAGGCACATATTAGCTTATGCCCCCTGAGATATAAACATCTCAAACTAGGGATCTTTTTCATGAAGGGCAAATGTCTTAACCAATTGCTACATCCCCAAACAAGGGCTAGAAGATGAAATGAGAAGTAAGAGCCAGGAAAGACAGAAGTCAAACTGAGTGGTGTACATAAAGAGTAAGCTTTCATTATTTATTTTTATTTTTATTTAAAAAGGACAGTGCATATTGATGAACATATACCAGTGTAAATATGCCAGATTTATCCAGAAGGCTATTTTCCATCTGTAGTCCCTGACAGGTCAGACAAAAATGATATATAAAGAATATAGCACACCATCAGACAACAAACCCAACATGAAGAGATGGCTGTGTCACTGTATCAGCTAAATACAAACCTAAATATCCTAAAAGAAAAAAGAAATGGTTAAACAAAAGAGAAACAAACCCAAGCTCCTCACTAGCAGCACTAAAACAATACTAGGCTCAAACAAATCACATCACAACAGCTCTAAACTCTCAGGGCTGCTTCACACACTAACTGACCAAGTAGCTCTTAACCAGGTTATTACTGAGTGAGGCCCCGTGCACGCTGGCTTCTCAAGAGCAAGACTACACACACACACACACACACACACACACACACACACACACACACACACACACACACACACACACACACACACAGATCTACTGCATGTAACACCAGTACACAATGGAATAATTTCTTATGAAATATTCTTCTTACATAGAAGAAAAGATTGAATCATGTTGTGCTAGACTTAAAATTTCTGGTAAAAGTCTGCCACCTTATGGTTAAAAAAAAACCTTTTGAAAAGAATGTTTTGAGTCTCTGGTTTTGCTAATTCTGGCAAAGTTACTCCAAAACTGAAAGGATTCAGTTTAAATGTACTTTTTCTAAGACCATGGCATAATGAATGCTAATTCTTTCTCATAGTTTAATAAGACATTGATCTGAACTTTGACGAGGTTTGTTTGGCTTTTTGTCACACCTAAGAGGACAAAACAATATCAATATGTATGTGATGCATTCAGGGTCTGTTAGGATGCCTTACCATTTCATTTAATATTTGTGTTATAAAGTCTGTATTTGAGATGACATGTGCTCTTGTGAACACTCAGTATGGCCTAAATCAGGGGTTTCAAACTTGTAGCCCGGTGACCACTTGCAGCCCATGTCACCCCCTACAGCAGGTATATTGACGTGAAAAAATATAATGCAATTTGGCCCTTAAAGTTACCGGTTTGTTAGGGAGGATTTGTTTGTTGTTGAGTGCAATGTTAAAACAAGTTCTTTGAAAGGCTAAAAATTATTTAATATGAAGATAATATGAGCAAACAGTACAAACATGTTGAGGGACTGGCAGTAAGAGAGTTATTTGTAAAGAAAACAATTTTCAGCAGCAGTCGAAAACTAATTTGTACACTTATGTCTGCATTTTTATTTTGTTAAATACGAACAAAATTAAAGCAGAAGTGCTGCCACATCTGACCAGAAAGAGAGTACCAGTGTGTAAAAAGCTTCAGTTAGTAAGGAGTGATGAGAAAACAAAAAATAGGTTCACGTTTGCAGTTTTGTCTTGTTATACAATATTTGAAATATAAAAAAACAATTTTTGGAAATATTGGAGGGTGTTTTCTTGTTTGTTTTGTACTATTTGAACACTAAAGTGGCCCTCTAATGAGATGACAGTGCCAGCAGTGGTGTCATGGCTACTGAACGGACTCACGCGCAGACAGTTCTTTCTAAGAGAACAAAAGGAGATTTATTTACAACAGGGATCACGTCAGTGCTATATATATGTACAGTGAGTTGGGAGGGGGGTTTCCCTGGGTCTTTTCCCGGGTTGTAGTTGTGTGTCTTATTTTGAAATAAATTTTTGTGCATTACCATACCGACCAGAGAGCATTGAGCGGCAGAGAGGAGGATGTTACGCTCAATGTTGTTGGTGCATTTCAGGAGGACACTGCTAATAAAGTTACACAATTACACAGTGAATTCGGGTTTATTATTATATTTACAAAATACCACAGTTTTTGTCTTGGTCGTATCATTTTATTTTGTTGTATTTACTCCCGACACCGTGAAAATACATTAAACCGGTCAATGGTGCAAAAAAGGTTGGGGACCGCTGATCTAAAGGATATAACTTGTAAGCTAGAGAGGAAATGGCACCTCACTAATTTAGAAGATCATTTAGCCTGGAAAGATAGTTTACTGCTTTGTTTTGTTTTTTTTAAAGCCCACTGTAAAGCTTATTATTCATCACTAATTGAAAAAACAAGAACAACCCTAACGTTTTCTCCAGCACTGTGGCCAGGCTGACAAAATGTCCGAGCTCTGTTTAGCCAAGCACTTTAACATGAACTAGTAATGACTTCATGAATTTCTCTAAAAATAAAAATTTTACCATTAGAGAAAAAATGACTCATAAATGACTCATAAAGGCTTATAACACACAAGCCATCTCACAGACGTAGCATTATGGACAGCTATTTTCAGTACCATTGATATTTATCTAGACTTTTTTTCTTTCTTTTTCTTTCTTCCTGAGTTAACTTAAGTGAGTTAACACACACCAAATAGTTAAACTGCATGAATGTCTTAAAGACATAAAGACCTGGATGACCTCCAATTGTCTCTTTCTAAATCCAAAGGTTATTGTACTCGGCCCTAAAAATTTAGAAATATGGTACCTAACCAGATTGTTACTCTGGATGGCATTACCTTGGCCTCCAGTAACACTGAGAGGAAGCTTGGAGGTTTTTTTTTTGACCAGGATATGTCCTCCAGTATACAGATATTAAACAAATATGTAGGACTTTCTTCCATCTGCACAATATCTCTAAAATTTGTAATATCCTGTTTTAGACTGACTCTGTAAAATAATTAATAATTAATGCATTTATTACTAGGCTGCACCACCATTATTATCAAGTTGTCCTAAAAAGTCTTTGAAAAGCCTTCAGCTGATCCAAAATGCTGCAGTGAGAGCACTGACAATGTGCTCTAGTAACACAGAGCACATTTCGCCCAGACTCTTCATTGGCTTAAATTCTTCTCATCATGTACAAAGTCGTGAATAATCAGGCCCCATCTTATCTTAATAAGATTATAAAACCATATCACCCCAATAGAGCACTTTGCTCTCAGACTGCTGGTTTACTTGTGTTTATTAGGATATCTAAAAGTAAAATGGGAGGCAG